GATGGGAGAATGCACCTTCCCATGTGCGTGCTGGCCATTCATAGTGGGATTCCTTCAATGGTAAAGATGGAAACTCAGGAAGGGGACGTGCGTGGGCTGTGGAGCTGCATTCCCCTCTGACACACTGAGGCGGGAGCGGCAGCCCAGTTGGGGACTCATCTGAACAATTCAGAAGGGACAATCTGCCCTTCGGGAAAAGCGGGTCCGGCAGCCCCGGGGCCCGGTTCTCTAGTGGCTGCTGACAGCGTGCCCACTGGGGAACTGCCTGCTTCTTCATTTTGAACTTTGAGTGCCCTTGTTGCCCATACCTGCTGGCCTCAGGGTAAGCCTGGGTTTGGGAGCCCGCTGGGTTCTGTTTTATCTGCTCCGCGTTAGCAGTACCAGCTCATCCATCACGTGCCAGGGGAAGCCTGTTGCATTTTCTGATACTCCCAGAGAGAACAGAGCTCCTGGCAGCTCTATTAAATGTAATTTCACTTACATATGAGAGCAGTGTGGTCTGGAAAGGACACAGGTGCCAACTTGATGGAGATCCCAGTGGCTCGATCTGGGACACTTCGAGCAAGAAAATAGTCATCGTAATAGATTGTGACCCAGAAAATAAAATAAATATCCATCAGTCCATGCTGAGATAAATAAGTGATTAAACAGAGACAGAAATGGAGGTGGAAGTGAAAGCTCATCCTTAGAGCAGAATTCCAGCTGTTCAGGCTAAAGGGGGTGACTGGACTAGAAAATGACCTTTAGCACACATCACACTGATGGACCACGGGTGGCTGCAGAGGCTGTGGAGTGAAGTATGACACGAAACAGGATATTTGCAAAGCCTCAGAGTATCTCCCTTCAAGACGCTGATTCGTTACAAAGGGCAGCAGCAGCTCTGCGGGGGAGAGGCCCGGTGGGCAGCACCTCGACCATGTGGCCAAGGGCAGCGGCCCCAGTGAGGGGCCCGGCTGGCACCAAGTGCCCCGGTGTGATGCGCTGAGCGGGACACCAGATCACTCCTGCCAAACAGCCTCGACCTAATTGTGAGAAAGCATCAGGCAGACTGGAAGTGGGTTCTGGGGTCACTCTGCCTCTGTTCATACCTGGCCATCCTGCTTGCCAGCTGTGCGACTTTGGAAAGTCACCTCATTTCTGCTTACCTCAGTTTCCTTGTCTGTAAAACAAGGTACCCAGCTGGTGTACAGCTCAGACGGTTATCATGTGGATTAAATGTTAATTTAGTTGATTAAGTGTGAATACATGCACAGTGCCACAGCGGGGCCTCGGCGCAGAGTAAGGGCTGTGCTGTTACATGTGGTTCCATGTGACACCAGCGGCATCTTCTGCTGACCTTAGGGCTATTTTCTTTCTTTCTTTCTTTTTTTTCCCTCTCACTGTGCTTCTGGAAGCTTTCTGATGCAGGCCCTGGTGCTGGTTCCTCCTCCAACCAGCTGTTTTGCTCTAAAAGCATTTCCCACCCCACCAGCAGGCGGGTGAAGCCAAACCAGCACCAGCACCCGTGCCTTAAGGGTCATCCACTCTTGAAGGAATCAGAGTAACTGTTCTCTCACTTAGCATTGTTGGAAAGACAGAGCTCATGTCACCATAGAACTTTCTGTGGCCAGTTTCCCTTATTCCCAGCATGGAGTCCAGACCGTTCTGGGCTTGTGAGACCTTGTGCTTTGGGGGGGTGGTGTGGATCTGCCTCACAATGACCTGTCTGAGCTCTCACCCCATGTCACATTTTAGCATCTGTTTGGCCAGTAAGGCTGCAGCACACACACCGGCCTCATTCCCCACTTGGCCTTACCTTTGATGTCACAATCTGACCTGCGGATATTAATCTGGCTACAGCTACTCACAGACCAGATGACAGAGTCAATAGGCCCACCACAGTAAGATGTGGAAGAGAACTGACCATCAACCGAAGATCAAAGCAGGGGATGGGCCTCAGGCTGGCCAGTTCAAGGAACTGGGTCCAGCTCGGAACCTGCCGTGCCACACCCTCTCAAGCTGTCAGAATTCCAGAGCTTCTCAGTGTTCGAGGACATCAGCCATCACATCAAAGAGGAGGGGGCCCAACTGGTAAAGAAAGTCAATGCCATCTTTCAGCTGGACATCACCAAGGATGGGAAGATCATCCTGCAGTGGACCATCGATCTGAAGACTGGTTCTGGGGACATGTACCTAGGACCCGCCAGGCTCCCAGCAGACACTGTCTTCACAATCCCGGAGCCTGTCTTTATGGAGTTGGTTTTGGGCAAAATGAACCCTCAGAAGGCTTTCCTTGCCGGCAAGTTCAAAGTGAGTGGCAAAGTTCTGCTTGGCCAGAAGCTGGAGAGGGTTTTCAAAGACTGGGCTAAATATTAAGCATGCAATACTACCAAGGAAGTGATCAGAACTTCTCTCTGATCAGAATGTTGAGCAGAAGTCATGCTTAAACTGAAGATTAAAACAAAAAGTATTCAATATTTTTACTCAAATTCTTCCTATTCAAGTTTGATTAATTTTCCTGCTGATATGTAAATTTGGAGTGAGCGTTCTAGAGCAGTAAAGAGTGTTGGAGTGTATTACCCAAAATCTTTGTCTTTTTCTTTTCTTAGATTCATTTATGCCATCGTGTGGTAGGGTCAACGCCCCAGTTAGAGAAATGGGTGGTTTTGACAGTTGGATTTAAATGCTCCGATGATTGATTTCCTGAAACTTTGTTTTGTTTTCGTTTTCAGTCGGGTGCTTTGGGAAGGAAGTGGTGACCGTCCTTGGGCAGGTCTGCATTCCCATTGGTAGCTCGGTCCTTCGAGGAGACTCTAACACGGGCTTGCGCGGCTCTCGGAGGGGGTGCGCCCCAGCCGTGTGGGTGGAACAGGGCCATAGAGGGCCTGTGCTCCTGGCGCAGCATGACTTCTGACGGGTTTAATTCCAGGGGAGTCAAAGGGCCTGAAAGGTGTTCTAGGCTACTGGTTCTTAATCCAGAACATGCATCGGATTACTTGGAAGGCTGGGGGAACCCAAACTGCGGGGCCCCCTCAGAGTCTTAGCTCTGGGTGTAGACCCAGGAGATACACGTTCCCAGCAAGTTCCCGGGTGATGCCGATGGGACCACCCTCGCAGAGCTCCCGCTCTGGTTCGTCCGCAGCCTCAGTGTTGATCATAACCACTCTGCTCTAGACCAGTAAGATGCTGCCAGTTTTAAAGGACCTCCTGCAGACAGATGACATAGCCCTCTTGGGGGCCGTTTCTGGAGTGTCAGGAGCTTGTGTACTGAGCATTTTACAAAATCAAAGGTCATGCTGGGAGATTTTCCCTTCTGGGAACCCTCTCCACGCGTGGGG